GCAGGATGGTTTCTGCCCTGGGTCCCTTCCCCGTTGAAGATGGGCACACAGGCTGTTGGGGATGAGTCTGTGTTGTCTGCATCTCCAAATGAAGCGCAAATGGGTCCTGTAGTCTGCCATGTTTTCTGGAAATCCGTTCATCCTTCCACATCATTCGAAGGGTGTTCCTCCCAAAGTGCATGGCTAAATGTCCATGGAGATTCTCATAGGCTCCCCACCCATTTGCACTGCTCAGGTGACCCTGAGGACACAGGTAAATCTCCAGGTGGCCTCAACGACTCTCCAAAAGAAGGCAAAGGACCAGCTGTCTACAAGGAGTATAAATCCTTCGTTTCCCCACCATTCAGTCAGAGCTGAAGAAGCTTCTGGGATGAGAAGCGAAACGTTTTCAGAGAAAAACAAGAAAGTCCAGTTGCCTCCTGAAAAAACTCACCTTTGGGACAAGCATGGACCTGGAGGACTGAGAATCGCCATAGACCAGGGGTGTCAAACTCAATTTCATTGAGGGCCGCATCAGCATTGCGGTTGCCCTTGGGGGGCTGGGTGGGTGTGGCCAGGGTGGGGGTGGCCTACTGGGTGGGCGTGGATGGAGTGGGTGTGGCCTACTGGGTGGGCATGGCCAGCTTTACATCGTTCGTGTCAAGGCTGCCTGTGGGGGCCTGGGAAGGAGTGGGACAGATCTGAGGGTCTCTGGCAGAAGGGGGTGGGACCGGGGCAAGCGCCAAGGCATGGTCCATTTCTTCATTCCTCACAAAGGGGGACCCCTCCCCAGCATGCACCCAGGGAGCGGGGCCGACGCAGCAGGGGCTGGTTCCTCGCTGTTTCCAGACGGAGCGAAGACTGAATGCGTTTCAGCATAGATGGCCACCACAAAATTGTACATTGGCTCCCAAGAAGAAGAAGAAGAACAACAACAACAACAACAACAACAACTCTGGGATCCTTGGTGCTCTCTGAACTTGGTGGTTTTGTTGCAGATGTTTCATGACCCAACTAGGTAACATCTTCAGTGCTAGAAGGGAGTGGGATTGTGGAATGGAAGAGGAGGAGAAGGAGGAGGAGGGGGGAGGAGGAGGAGGAGGAGGAGGAGGAGGAGGAGAACTGATTGGAACACGCTGGGGACAGATCAATTCTTTGTGGTCACTAAGAGTTAACACCAAGTTGTCACCCAACTAAGGCACAAATGATCAGGCTCCAATTATATTTGGGTCATGCTATGGGAAGACCCATCTCTCTTGGCAAGCCCATAATGCTGGGAAGGTGGAAGGGAAGAAAAAAGGCGACGGACCAGCCAGATGGATAGACTCAGCTACAGCGATGTAGAAGACCTGAATGATCAGGTTGGGGAGAGATCATCATGGAAAAATATCTATTTATATGGTCACTAAAAATCCAGGAATATCCCTTTCTTGTTTTAGGACAGTATTTCTCAACCTCGGCCACTTTAAGGCCTGTGTGGACTTCAACTCCCAGAATTCCCCAGCCAGAATGGCTGGCTGGGGAATTCTGGGAATTGAAGTCCACACATCTTAAAAGTGATGGATGTTAAAACAAGGCTAAGATAAAACCCAGTAGGACAATGATGTCATTAATTTCATGGTGGCAAAACTCGCCTCTCCTTTGCTAATCCTTGCAATGCATCCACCGTCTAACAAAAAAGTTTATTTCTGTAAAAATCCTGAACTGCAAAATGTATCATCGCTGTCCAAAATGGGAACAAAGAAGCAACAATAACAAAAAAAGAAAACAAATCACAGATACTGTGCTTTGTGTTGTAAAAAAAAATAGAACAACATAACAGCATTGCACATATTGGGAGATTCCGTGGTTTTAAAAATGATTGTGTGGAGGCGTCTTAATCTGCTTACTCTGTGGTGTTGAGAATCATTCTTGCAAAGCCCCCACTTACAACCATTCGTTTAGTGACTGTTCAAAATTACAGCGGGACTGAAAAAAAAGTGACTTCCAGCCAGTCCTTGCACTTATGACCATCTCAGCATCCCTATGGTCACCTGATCAGTATTAGTGACCAGCATGATTTTACAACAGTTACAGCATTCCGTTGTCGTGTGATTGACATTTGTGACCTTACAAGCCGACTTCCGACAAGCAAAGTTAGTTGGGGAAGCCGGTTTGCTTAATGACAGCATGATTCACTTAACAACAGGGGCAAAAAGTTGCAAAATTGGGCATGACTCACTTAACAACCGCCTCGCTTTACAACAGAAAGCCTGGTCCAATTGCGGTTGTAAGTCGAGGACCACCTATACATAAATGGCATGGAGTTACATTAGAGCTGCAAGCAGGATAAGTGGTCTAAAAACTCAAGATGGCGCCCACAACAGCATAGTGGAATGTTTTACACACATCAAAAATTGGGAGCTTTTGTCGTATCGTGAAAGCTGCCATCTTTACTTTTTTGACCACATCTGGGTCAAAACATTGCTGATGGAAATCATCGGTGGTCAACCAAACCTTCAACAGATCTCTTAAAAAGAGGAATTTTTATCAGTGAATATGTACAGAAGACACTTGGATTTATTCCAATGTGATTTTTTTTCCTTTCTTTTTAATATCTATTTTTATTTTATTCAAAAAAAGTTAAAATACAAAACACCAATATTTTTTTTAAAAAAAAATTAAACACCTGGATTTATTCCAATGTGATTTTCCAAACACCTTGAAAGGTAAGTTAAGTCTTTCCATCCCTTAACAACAACATCAAATGGGTGACCCCATCGTTGATCCAGGCCGATCGTAGAGGAGCAACCATCTTTGGGGATCAGATCCAAGGCTGAGTCACTTTTAGATCCTCTGGGATGAACGCTGATGAGTGAGCAGGACTCCCATTCGAATTGGCTGCCTTGTCTGGTCCTCCCATGCTGCACAGCTCCGCCGTTCTCAGAGAAGGAGATGGACGACAACCCCCAAAATCAAGATGGCGACCGCTAACAGCAGTGCCAGTCCACGCCGGAAAACAAGTTGCTTGCAGGATAAGGCCCCTGGCATCGGAGAAACCATGAATGGGGGCATCTCTTCGCTGGAAATGGGCTGATGGTCCCCTAGGTTTTCGCCCTGGTGGACAAGACAGCTGAGGGTATCTCCGTTGGGCACCTCCAGATTCATCGCAAGATAATCTGTGTGTAGACCACATGCAAGGGATTAGAAATTGCAGATTGATACGCTCGGCTTAACCGTCTGATGTTGGTGGCCATGCGGTAGTCCTGGCCTCAGTACCACAAGGGAGTCCCAAACTTCTATTGCAGTGGTTCTCAACCTTTTTAATGCCGCGACCCCAACCGGTCATAAGTCGAGGACTAAACCAGTCGTAAGTCAAGGACTAAACCGGTTGTAAGTCGAGGACTACCCAACCGGTCGTAGGTCGAGGACTTTCCCTGCCCGGGAGCGCCGCACATGCGTGGTTCCACCCCCTGCGCCGGCCGAAGCGTAGCTGGCAAGCGGCAGAGATGGAGCAGGCCGACCACCAGCTGGCCCAGCTCAAGGGAGGTAAGGCACCCGCCGGAAAAGGGAAAAAAATGGCGGACAAAAAAAATGGCGGACAGCCTTGCTTGGCAACCCCCATGAAATGGTCGATCGACCCCAAATGGGGTCCCGACCCACAGGTTGAGAACCACTGTTCTATTGCTAAGCGAGATAGTTGTCAAGTAAATTTTGCCCCGTTTTGCGGCCTTCCTTGCCAGCGTTGTTAAGTGAATCGCTGCAGTAGTTAAGTTAGTGACACAGTTGTTAAATGACTCTGGCTGCCCCATTGACTTTGCTGGTCAGAAGGTCGCAAAAGCTGATCATATGACCTGGCCCATGGCAACCGTCGTAAATATGTGTCAGTTGCCAAGCCTCTGAATTTTGATCATGTGACCCTGGGGATACCGCAATGGTAATGTGAAAAACGGTCATACAGTCACTTTTTTCAGTGCCGTTGTTCACTTTGGACAGGGTGAGTTCTAGTCCTGCCTTAGCCATTAAAGCCAGCCAGGTGATTTTCGGCCACTCCCTCCCTCTCAGCCTAACCACCTCACAGGGTTGTTGTTGTGGAGAAAATAGGAGAAGGGAAGTACATTGTATATGTTTGCTGCTTGAGTTATTTGCAAAAATAATCAAAGTGAACGACACGCTGCACTGAGCAAATCTAAAATGCAATCAACCAATAAATCATCTGGCCCACTATAGAAGATTGGGTATTCAAAGTTTCAAATTTAGCAGAAATGGCTAAGATTTCTGCCTATGTGAAGGATTATTCACAAGAAAGATATATTTTGGTTTGGAGAAGATGGATAGATTATATTGAGAGTAAATATGGAACTTAAAAGTTTCATTTGGTTTTTGAGTAAACTTTAGAGTGTTAATGTAGCTTATGTGTTAAAATTGGATATTTACTTTTATCTATAATTATTAATATGGTGTTATAATTATTGTGTTTAATATGTTTGTTTAAAAGAGAGTTAAAGGATGTTATAGATTTGTTAATCTAATAGTGATTAATGTTAGACAGAGTATGGTTATTGTATTGTTAACC